CACATGCTATATCTACCACAGAGCACATGCTATATCTACCACAGAGCGCATCCTTAGTTCCCAGAGGAAGATTTGAGAACAGGAAGGGCTCTTGTGTCCACTCTCTTAGCAGGTTCTCAATGAAAGACACCCTTATGTGTGCTCTATGAATAATTTCTCATCACACATGTAACACGTGTTGACTGGCCCTGGAAACCAATATGGAACAGTTTTCAGGCACACATGTGAACCATGTGGGTACGAGTGTGAGCAATTGTGGGGGCCTGGCTCCTGGCCCAGCCTCATGGGATAGACACTGTAAAATGCACGGTGGGAATTAGGAAGGGGGGCAGACTTGAACTCAAAAAAAAAAATCTAAAACAGCACTCAACAAATATTTGCTGGATTAACTAATGAGAAAAGGAGAAAGAAGGGGAGCCTGGAAGACAATCCAGAGAGGGCGACCCCTGACCTCCAGGCCCCACCCATTGGGCCCCCAGCCTACAGACTTGAAGTGCCCATAAGGACGGCAGCCTGTTCCTCATCCCCCAGCCTCAGGCTCTAACTGTATTCCCACAGACTCCCCTGACCCCTCCCTGTTCACCCTCCTGGCCCAGGGCCTTTGCGGTTTCGCTCTCATCTGCCACAAATGCTCTCCTCTTAGAATTCTTTATGGCGCATTTTGTTGGTTTGTTTGTTTTTTGCTTTTCGAGACAGGGTTTCTCTGTGTAGCTTTGGTTGTCCTGGAACTCACTCTATAGATCAGGCTGGTCTCGAACTCACAGAGATTCGCCTGCCTCTCCCTCCCAAGTGCTGGGATTAAAGGCGTGCGCCACCACCACTCGGCCTTATGGCTCGTTCTTTCAGGTCTTAACTCAAAGGTCCAAGGCTTGTCTCTCTTTCCTTCCTTCCCTCCCTTCCTTTTCCTTCTTCAAAGATTTTTTTTTAAATATTTGTATTTAGGGGCTGAAGAAATGGCTCAGTGGTTGAGAACATTGGCTGCTCTTCCAAAGGGCCCAAGTTCAATTCCCAGCACCCACATGGCAGCTCACAACTGTCTGTTACTCCAGTACCAGGAGATCTGACACCTTCACACCAGTGTACATAAAATAAATTTTAAAAAATGAAAAAAATGTGTATTTCTGTGTGTGTTATGGCGTGTGTGCATGTGTGTAAAGTGCCTACAGAGGCCGGGGAGGGCGTCAGATTTCATGAAGCGGACTTACAGGTGGCTGTGGGTACTGGGGACCAGACTTGGGTCCTCTGGAAGAGCAGGGAGAGATCTTCACTGCTGAGCCATCTCTCCAGGCCTCGCCCCAAAGTCACCTTTCAGACGGTCCTTCTCTGGCCACCTTCACTTTAAACTCACCAATCAGCAGGACAGACAAGTGATGCTTGTCCTCATCCTGTAAGAACGCATTTGTCGGTGTGCCCCACAGCAGACATGTGTACCTTCCTTGTCTGGTCTGGATTCTGTTCACTGCTGTGATGATTGTTGAATGAAATGAAGGACTTGAGGTTGCTTACAGGAGTGTCCCTGGAGGAGAAGTCGTGTTGTGGGGACTTGGGGGCTGAGCAGGGACCAGAGTCTGACAAGGGACAGAGGTGATTAGGATACCCCTGCCTAGAGTCCACTCCTTGCTGACCCAGCTCCCGCTCCTCAACCCCCAACAGCACCACGGCAGGGGATGGTGCCCCAGCTTCCTATATCATTAAATTACTCGGGAGGAAGGGATTGGGAGATCAAAATCCCATACTGCCAAATAGGGCAGCTGCCACCTTCAGCCAAGTCCCCCTGTGGTCTCCACCTGACATTTTGTTTTGTTTTGTTTTCCAAGACAGGGTTTCTCTGTGTAACATTCCTGGCTGTCCTGAACTCACTCTGTAGGCCTGACTGGCCTGGAAGTAACAGAGATTCACCTGCCTCTGCCTCCCCAGTGCTGGGATTAAAGGCGTGCACCACCAACCCTCCTCCCACTCCCCCAGTCAACTCTTTTACCTCCTCTCATAAACAGCTGCATCCAGATTAGGCCTTGGGGCCCCAAGATGGCCTCTCCTTGGCAGACACTAAACCCTAGGTTGCAGGGAGGAACCATAGTGGCTGAATACCCCCCCAAACATAGGTAAGTAGTGCTGAACCCAGCAACACGCTGCCCACCTGCCTGGACTGGCTGCCTCAGCACAGCCAGGTGATGTACGACCCACTGTCCTGCCAGGAAGTGACAGCAGATGAATGGGCAGGGCCGGGGAGCAGGCTCAGAGCCAGGTGCTGTAAGCAGTAGGAGGCAGCCGCCTGGCTCTGGAAAAACCATTCCGGGAACGTCACCTCCCTGACCCAGGGCAAGATGGGAGGCAGGGACTGTCTTGGGCATGATGCCCATGTACTAGTCTTTAATGTGGGGCAGTGCAGGGAGCGAGAGTCGCAGGGGGGTTCTTGACCTCAACCTCCTCCTCTGTAAGATGGCCAACAAGGAACCACTGAGAGACAGCCCCCAGACTTAGGCCTGCTGCTATCCAATGCTCCAAGTCCTGGTCCCTAAAACCCTGTTTCTCCCTCTTCACACCTCTGAATCTGAACCCCCTCCCTTGGCTTATGGAGAATCAGGCCCAGCTAGCCCCTAAGGCCCCCCCTCCATCTTTCAAATGGGACACTTAGGAGGAGAACTTGGCAAGGTCAGGGTCCAACTGAGGAGACTCCGTTCGGTGGGATTTGAAAGGAGCCCTCTCCCTACTGTGGTCCCTGAGTGCTAAGTCCCAGTTGCCTTTGATGCTCAGCAGGGATAAGGGACAATCAGAGCAGCACTGGGTACAGGGAAGGGGGCTGGGGGCCAGTGCTGCTGCTGTGACCGAGTTGGGATGCGCCAGACGCCTCTGTGTGCTCTGTCTGCATCCAAGGAGACTAGGACATCAGGCGGACGCTGTGTCCTTGCAGGCAGGACCTGGTGAGGGATGAAAAGGGGGGTCATTCTGGGGACCCAGGCTACTTGCAGGGCCAGGCAGTGTCTCCTGCCATCTGCTCAAGGATTCTGGACACTCTGGGGCCTCCAGTGACTGTGGACGTGTGACACAGGTGTACCAAGACAGACCTAGGTGGTACAGACACAACTTGCTGGCTGGGATTGCACACAGACACACAGTCACTGGATATGTGGTGAGGTGTCCGCATGAATGGTCTTGCATCTGGATCCCAGGAACCCAAGCGTTGGCAGACCAGGTGCAGACATGTGTGGATAAGTGTACCAGTGCGAATGAGCACACACCATTCCCATCTCGATGAGGTATGTTTGTTGCACACGTATATGTGTGAATACACACTCAACAAACAAACCCCAGGCAAGATGAAGAAGGCCAGCCCCACTGTCAGATGGGGAAACTGAGGGCAGAGGCCTGGCTCAGGTTGCTGGGATCCTGAGTAAGAGTCTAGGCAAGTGAGCACCACTCTTCTGCACAAAGGGGCAGTCAGACTAGAAAGCACCCCTCCCATGAGGGCTGGGGAAGCAGCTCTTCACTAAAGAGCACTGGCTGCTTTTCCAGAGGACCCAGGTTCAATGCCCAGAACCCACACAGTGGCTCACAGCCATCTCTAACTCCAGGGGATCTGACACCCTCTTCAGGCCTCCTTGGGTCCTAGGCAGACATGCGGTGCACACGCACACACGCAGGCACCAAGGTAGGCAGACAGGCCTTGCAGGAAGGCTTTGGCATGAGAGTTGGGTAGGGTTGCTTGAGTTCCCTGCCTGAGACCACCTTTGGAGAGGGAACACCCCACTCGGTCCCCAGTCTCCTCATGTGTGGAATGGAGTCCCCACCCCTCCCAGGCTCTTGATGGACAGGACTGACGAGGTCTTAAATACCACATCCTTCCATGAGTTAGGGCTGGGGACCGAAGGTCACCTCAGGGACAAGGCTGTGGTCCTGAGCTGCACCCTGCACGGCTCTCCTGCTGGACTGACATCTCGGGGAGGAGAGCAGCCTGAGGCGGGGGATGAGGGCGCTAAAGGGATGTGAGGCTGGGCGGCAAGCCTTCTGGTCCAGTTAGGGAAAGGATTTGTCATTTTAATGATGTGATATTTCTTGCCTGGCTCCTGTCAGAGGTAGCAAGAGCGGGGGACAGCTGCCTCTACAAGTGAGAAGGTGCTGGCCTGTTGGGGGCAGGCCTGACACCCAAGTCTGTCCAGGCTGAGGTGGATGAAGCTGGAACTTAGGGGACGGAGGGGACAAGAGCTTTCACTCTTGTGAAAACTCTGCATGTTGCTCTGTGCGACCTTGGGCAAGTCCTCCGTCTCCAAGTCGGCTTCATTGCTAAACTGGGACTGGTACCCAGCTCATGGCACAGCTACTGTTGATTCCAGTCTGACGCCTCCTCTCCTGACCCCTGCTCCATCTCACTACCACTGCCTTGCGTTTCTAGGGCTGCTCATCTACCTGACTTCCTGTCCGGTCTGAAAAGGCGTTCAGTTACCCTGCGTCCTGGCCCCTTAGTGATGGTTAATGTCCGACTCTATTGGGTTTAGCACTGTGTTCCGGCACACAGTAGGTCCTGGATAAGTCTGTTTCTTGAATGATTGGATGAGCAGCCCCAGACCTGCCCTCCTGATCCCCGTACAGCTTCCTGAGTGCAGGTGGCAGCGGCAGTGAGGGTGGCCTGGTGGGCGGCCTATCCATCAGCTTGGCAGTGCGCCTGACCAGATGGAGCCGAGCCCCTGGGGGGAGGGACAGGAGAAGATTCATCACCCTCAGTAGGTGGCAGGCGTGTGGGCGTGCCTATCCGGCCCCTTGTGGGATCCCCATCCATCATGCTGCACCAGGGACTCTCTGGGGAGGTGAACAGTCCATGGCTTCAAAGCAGGCTTCTTAGGGTAGGTCCTTCAGGGGATTTCAGTACAAAGGGGAAACTGAGACCTAGACACGGGGCGACGGAAGTTCAAAACAGGGGCGCTAGGGTCAGACCGATGAGCATTTGAATGCCATCTCCAAGACTCATTTGTTGGACTGGGGAAGCTCC